TATAATCAGGCAGGCAGAAGCATCAAAATGGATCAGGCGAGATGGCTCAGTAGGTAAAAGAACTTGCTGCTAAGCCTGAAGACGGGAAACCACATGAAAAAATAGAGAAAAAAACAGCCCCAATTTTCTTTGACCTCCACATACAGGGCACATGTATGATCCATACATATACATGAATAAGTAAATCAGTGTTTTGTTTTTTAAGATAGTAAACAATTAAGCCAGGTGGTGGTGGCATATGGCTGTAATCCTAGCATTTGGGAGATCTCTGAGTTCAAAGCCAGCCTGGTCTACAATGTGAGTTCCAAGACAGCCAGGCTTACACTGAGAAAAACAAACCAACAAACAAAGAGAAAAAAGGAAGGAAGGAAGGAAGGAAGGAAGGAAGGAAGGAAGGAAGCAAGCATGCGAGCAAGCAAATTGACTCAATACACTGAGGTGGTGAGAGAAGGATCCAGATTTGCTTTCTAACTTCAGGGTCTAGAGCAATCATGCTGCCCTACACTAGAGCTAAAGTCAGGAGACAGCCAGAGCAGCCTGCTGGAAGCCTCTTGCAACCACAAGAGACTTTGCCCCCACCCCCAGCAGCTGTGTGACCTCTGAGGTTATCATTCAGGTCAGACAGTCTGGGGACGTGAGAAAGTGTCACTCTCCACCTCAGGAAACAACCCTGGGACTAACTAATGCCCTTAATTAAGGGAGAAGGATGGCTTGATGGTTGGCCTGTGTCCTGAAGAGGCTGCAAAGACTTCGGTCCTCTTCCCAACGAGCTAGAGAATGCTGGAGATGGACAGGCTTTGTCAGATAGTCCAGGGAGAAACCCCAGATCCCCAGGCAGCTGAGGGCCAATACACACAAGAAATGAGCTCCGTCTGCAGCCCAGGTCACATGAGGGCAAAACTTGGGTAGTCTAAAAAAAAATCTACTACTACAAGACATTTGAACAACTGTATTAGTCGGGGTTCTCTAGAATCACAGAACTTATGGAATAAACTCTCTCTCTCTCTCCCTCTCTCTCTCCCTCTCTCTCTCTCTCTCTGTGTGTGTGTGTGTGTGTGTGTGTGTATAAGGGAATTTATTGGAATGATTTACAGGCTGCAGTCCAACAGTGGCTATTGTGAATGGAAAGTCCAAGAATCTGGCAGTTGCTCAGTCCCACGGGCTGGGTGTCTCAGCTGGAATGGATGTGCTGACAAAGGGAGGGCAAGCCCGAGAAGAAAGAACCTTCCTTCTCCCATTGTCATTACATAGGCTTCCAGTAGAAGGCGTGGCCCGGATCAAAGGTGTGTCTTCCTCAAGACCTGGATCACAAGTGTTCTCTCTATTTCTGGATTATAGTTCATTCCAGATACAGTTAAATCGACAACCGAGAATAGCTATCACAACTTTTTTGGGGTAGGGTTGTTTGTTTGTTTGTTTAGACACAGGGTCTTATTTATTTCATTTATTTAGTTACTATATAGCTGAGGCTAACCTTGAATGGAAGGTTTTCCTGCCTCCATCTCCTGGGATTATAAATATTGCCTGTGCTTTCTTTTCTTTTTTCCCCCTTTAATATTTTTTTTAAATATGACTGGACATGGTGGTGCACAAACTTAGAAGGCAGAGGCAGATGAATCTCTGTGAGTTCAAGACCAACCTAGTCTATGTAGTGAGTTCCAGGACAGCCAGGACTTACACAGAGAAACTCTGTCTCAGAAAAACTGGAGAGAGAGAGATTTATAAGCAATGTTTTTTGGGGGGTGGTTCAAGACAGGGTTTCTCTGTAGCATTTGGAGCCTGTCCTGGAACTTGCTCTGTAGACCAGGCCGGCCTTGACCTCACCTATGCCCACCTCCTGAGCACTGGGATTAAAGGTGCATGCCACCACTGCCCAGCTATAAACAACTTTTTAAAACATTTATTTATATATTTATGTGTTATGCTAGGGCAGAGGATAGCCTTCAGGAGTCAAAGTCCCTTCACTGTTTGAGTCACCAGGTTTGGTGGCAGGTGCTTTACCCACTGAGTCATCTCACCAGCTCTTTTTCTTTTTAAGACTAATTTATATATTATGTATATAGTGTTCCGTCTGCAGGTCTGCCTGCAGCCTCCACCAGTTCTATCTTCTCCTCCTCCTTTTCTCATCTCTTTTGTGGGAAAGCACCAAGAGTTGTAACATGGATGTGGGTGACAGGTAGACCTGCCTCTCCTGCCGGCTGTTTCTTGTGTATTTTGGGGCCAGCACATCACCTTCTCCTCACGAGCTCCCATTTTGCCTTACCATCCTGTCTTGGACATGAGGTAGATAATGAAATCAATGGAAACAGCAGAATGCACAATGCACATGCCCCTCAATAATCAGCCATTGTTGTTATCATTAACTGCAACTCTGTTTGTTTGGTTGGTCGGTTCCTCTGTGTAGCTTTGGAGCCTGTCCTGGAACTCGCTCTATAGACCAGGCTGGCCTCAAACTCACAAGAGATCAGCCTTTCTCTCCCTCCTGAGTGCTAGAATTAAAGGCATGCATCACCATTGCCTGGGACTCAACTCAATTCCTACACTTCCTATGTGCCATACATGCAAGAGATACAAATGCCAAAAAGCTTAACCATTGATTAAGAGAAGCTTCTAACTGAAAGTAGAAAAACTATAAAATCATCTTCTTGGGTCTTGATGGATGGTATGCCCTTTGCCACCTGGATCCCAGGAGTCCAGACTCTGGCAGCCTCGAGTTCTGGAATTCCCATCTCTTCAGCACCCCTCTGCATTGGCACACTTGATGCTCCATATTTTTGTTAGTCAGGATGTCACTATGTATGTAGTCTTGTTGGCCTGGCACAGCAGCTAGAAGTCACCATGAAAACTCGCTATGTAGATCAGACTAGCCTGGAACTCACAGAGATCCTCCTGCCTCAAAGATCTTCCTGCCTCTGCCCCTCGGAGTGCTGAGATTAAAGGTGCATCCCACCACGCCTAGCAACCTGTCATTGTTTAATTTCTATATGCTAGGATCCAGATGCTATCTGCCTCTGGGAAGAGGTCTGTTTCAGCGGGCAGCAGCTCCTAACACCACCAGGTAACATTGATCAGGAGCTCCAGTACCCATCCAGGTGTATAATCCCTTCAAAAGGGTTCACAGCCTTTCAAGCTCTTAGTCTTAAGTGCTTAGGAGGAGATCTCTCCAGCTGTTTTACTCCGCACACATCCTACAAACTGTAACCAGGCCCACCCAGGTTTCCAAAGCCTTCAGATAAGAACCACTGGGGTGCTTACTGAATATGCAGATCACCGCACCCTCGCTTGGAATTTTAATTCTGAGGTCAGGAGGGAAATGTGAAGCCCAGGCTTTAACAAACAGCCCAGGATACTGGCATCCTCAGGCAAGTCCAGACATGGTGCTCCGAACCTGGGTCTGAACCTGGACCAGAACTGAAGCTCAGTTCTATCCGAGTTCACCTAGCAGGCACGAGGCCATAGGTTCAACCCCAATACCACACAAACCAGGGCACCTGCAGTGTAATCTGAGTACTTAGGATGTGGAGGCAAGAGGATCGAATTTTAAGGTCATCCTCAACTACAAAATGAGTTCAAGGCTAGCCTGGGCTACACGAGATAGTTTTGGGGGGAAACAAAATGCCCGGGCTGGACTAGGATATCAGGGTAAGCGAGCTGGTGTGCAGATCATCAGGACCTGTGGTGGCCTGCAACCCGAGGCTCCATCCGGCCAATTGGCCAATTAAAGCAGCTTCTACAAGATCATGCAGGCCCCAGGATGTCTCTGCACGCTAACTAGCCTGTGTACCTGCTCACATACTAGCCTGTTAAAGAGCCCAAGTGTGTAAAGTGCCCAGCACATAGTAGGTGTTCAGTAAATGTTAGCCATCTGCTAAAGTGCTAGTTAGAGGCTTGAAAAGAGTGGGATGGGGGTGGGGAGCAGCTAAGGAGAAAACCAGCAATAGCCGAGGAAAACATGGGGGCGGACATCGGGACAGAAATTTACATTTCTTTAAAAGGTAATTCCAAACCTGCCTTCCCTTTTGAGAAAACAAAGCCTAGGATCTTTCCATTCCCAACAGTCTCTTCTTAATGACTCCATTCCGATGAACTCAATCATTTGCACGGTGTGAAAAACGTTCACCCCCTTAACATAAATAACACCCTTTAAGAATATGACGTATTTATTATATCGAGTCCCGCACAAACAAATACAACTAATGAGAGTTACTCTCAGAAAATAAAAGTCTTCAATTCCATCTTGGGCAGACAAGGTGAGCAGGCGATCCCAGGGCCCGGCCACTGCACGACTGGCAGGAGAGGCAGCCAGGCCCCAACTCTCTCCTCTCTTTCCTCTCCCCTCCTCTCCCCCCAAAACTCCTGTAGCAAGCAGGGAAGGGCCTGTCACCACCCAAAACACCTGGGTTAGCTATAGCTGAGCCTGCCTCTGCTCCCCAGGAGGGCGCTTTGGTATTTGAAGCTGACATTTGTCACCAAGGGCCTTCCTCTGTTCTTGCAAATTCCCAATACCCAGTACTTGCCAATGAAGGCTGGCCTGGAGCTACCCAGAACAGAGGACCGCCTCCCACCCCAGCTCTCCCTACCTGCTTTTGGATGAGCTGGAAAGAGAGGACCCCCCAGGGTTCCCGGACAGGCAGAGTAAGGAAGCCATTGTTGTGGTTCTGGGCTTAAAGCCAGGGCTCCAACACACCGCCAGCTCATCGAAGCATAGTCGGTAGCAGGTAACAACCCGCTACCTCAGAAGTAAGACTTTCCGAGGTAGAGGGGCAAGGTGCGGGTACAGCCTAGACCCACCCAGTCTCTGTACCCAAGACCCTCATCCCAATTTATCAATCACATCTCACCACATCACATCTTTCCCCAGCAGGGGCTCCCCTACCCTACGCCTCCAGGGGGGTTATAGATTCTTAAGGCCTCTCAGGAGGGAGGGTGGGAGGGGGCGGGGCGGCGGTGGCTCAGATATAAGGGACCCAGCCGCTGTTTTCGGGTCCAGTCAGCCCACCATGAGTGCCCACCGCCTCCCTATTCTTCTTCTCCATGCCTGGTGGGCCCTACTCGACCCGCGCGCCGCGACGGTGACCGCCTTTCCTCTGTGGACACCGGGGCAGCCCTCGTCACCATCCTCTCTCGCGTACATGATGAGCCTCTACCGAGACCCGCTGCCTCGGGCGGACATCATCCGCAGCCTCCAGGCTCAAGGTAGGCTGGAAGCCTGGCTTCACAAGCACCCAAGGGCGCACGACCCGGGAGGTGCGCGGTGGCTGCGGCGGGGACTGGGCACCAAAGACCATCCAGAGTCTGGTCTTAACGATGGGCAGGCTCAGGGCACAGCGCTGGTGGCCAGGTTGGAGAGGAACCCAGGGTGCCGGGGCCACCGCCTTTCGGGTCCTAGTTTAGGTGGCAGAGAATAAAGGGGTAGGGCGAGGGCCCGATCGCACCATCTGTAGTTTGTCCATCTGTAGTTTAGAAATTGCAAGAACTCCTTCACAGACTTACGTTGAGGACTAGATGACAACACGCCACGGCCCCCAGAGACACTCTGCACGAACCAGGCGTACAGTAAATCAGGTCGTTACTGAGTTTTTTTCCCGGCTGCCGTATTCTTAGGCGGGGCGATGTCAGGTGTCCCGGGCTCGGAACCTGTTTGGATCCAGGTTTGCGTGTGTAGTTGGCCCAGTGACCTGAGTGTTGTTCACCAGAGTAGATCAACAGGTGGGTGCCCAGGAGAGGGAGTACAGACTCGGACTCCCTTCCCGGGCGCAATCCACATCCCTTTGCCTGGGCAGCTTGGCCAGTCCGCGCCTCTGTCCTGCGAGGCCAGACGGCCCTCCGCGGGACCCGGACGCAATCCACATCTGCTAATCCGGTCTGACCCGTCGTCCGCAGGCCCTCAGGACCTGGAGGCGGAGCCCCTAGTCCCTGCACGCTGCGTCTGGGGTGAGACTGCCAGTGACCCTCTCCTGAGGGGTCATCTGGGGACTACTGGCCAGGCATCGAGGAATTGGTGAAGTGCTCGGCCCCTCCGCCTAGGGTGGAACCGAGGCAAAGCGGGAAAAACATACCTTTCCAGCTGACTCCACTTTTAGAATGTTCTTGAAGGTTTATATAAATGATGGGACAATCTGGGATTCAGGAAAACTGCTCAGGTCCATCTAATTCTGTTTCGCAGTGGCCTGAGTCCCACGGCACCATCATCTCGCTTTTTGTTTGCTTTTGTAAATCGAGGGACTTCAGCATTTTAACTATTTGCCAATGGTGTCAACTGCCTCCATTTCAGCAAAATGGCTCTGCCTGAAGGGAGGTCTAGGGGAAGATCCACATTCCAGGTCACTCCTTATTTCTTGAGACAGTATTTAATCTGCCCCATTACAGTGGTAGTGGGGTCTGTTAGCTGGGATCTAAGTGCCTGTCTGTGCCTGATTTGTTCAATTTATTCCTGTGCAAACAGCAGCATCAGTGAGGGGTGCAGGCAGAGGTAGAAAGGCAGTTCTGGTAAAGCCTTGGCATTCTGGAAGCAAAAAATGGCAAGGACCTCATGATAGCCCCTTGCCTCCCTGGATGAAGACCTGGGCAAGCAAACTGCCTGAGTTACAACTCTTTCCTTTAGCATTGTAGGTGGCTAACCGTGCTAATGATTCTTACCAAATCCACACTCAGCACACAAGTGAGTTTCAGGGTGGCCATGAACCCCTTCCTCATGCCCACCCCATTCATATTTACAGTATCACTTGTTTAATGAGCTAGAGCTACCTGTATCCCATGGAAACCCTGGGGGTGGCCTGAGAGGAAGCAGTTTCTTTCTGCCCTACCTGCACACTGGTCATCAGTTACAAGAGACTATGACTGTGCAGGGCCTTGCGCCTAGCTACCTGACTGCCATGTTTCATTCCTGAGTTTTGTTTAACACACGACATCCCTTCTTTCTACCAAGAAGGCAACCAAGGCCCAGAGAAAGAAAATCACCTGACCACAGGCTGTTGCTCTTAGCAGATGAAGCAGGAGCACCTGCTCTGGGAGGCCATTTGCAGACACTTGATTAAGTTTCAGAACACAGGCAGGCTGCTAGTACAGGGGACAGGATGGTGAGAGGGTCCCAACTTGTTCCCAGGGTCAGTGGTGTCTGGGGAGAGTCTCTAGGCTAGAGCTAGTTATGGTCTCCTGAAGTTGCTAGTGAGGAGGGAAAGTGGAAATTAACAGAAAAGGTAGCTAGAGGTCGCCTGGAGAGGCCACCAGAGGCAGACAATGGAAATTTCCCTGGGTAACTCCCCTAAGCATGAAGATGTTGTTCTGGGGATGGTTAAAAGCTAGGAGCTACACTGGATCAGCCCAGATCCCTGCTGTCCCCAGGACTACTCAATAAGCCTGTTATAGAGTCCTTGTTTTGTCTTTTCGGTAATGAAATAGACCATAAAACAAAACAAAAACGCCACATAAATGTAAGAAATTAAACCTCTAGATTTCCCCAAGTCTTTACTTATTTTGTTGTTGGTGGTGGTGTTGGTGTGTGTTTGAAACAGGGTCTCATCTACCCAGCATGTCTGACGCAATCTACCCTGTCCACTAAGGAAAAACACAGGCCTGAGAGAGTGGCTTGCTCAAGGTTCAACAGGGCAAACAAAAGCCCAGGGTCAAGAAAGAAGGCTTTACACTGGTGGGTGAGGGCTGGCTGAACCATCCAGTCCTCTGTGTGTGTGTGTGTTTCTTCTTTCTTTTTAAAAAATATTTATTATGTACATTATATGTTCTGCCTGCATGTATTTCTGCACACCAGAAGAGGGCACCAGGTCTCACTATAGACGGCTGTCAGCCACCACATGGTTGAAGGGAATTTAATTCAGGTCCTCTGGAAGAGCAGCCAGTGCTCTTAACCTCTGAGCCATCTCTCCAGCCCATGTATGTGTTTTTCAAGACAGGGCTTTCCTGTGTAGCCTTGGCAGCTCTGGAACTTGCTCTATAGTTAGACTGGCCTTGAACTCAGAATTCAGAGATCAACTTGCTTCTGCCTCCTGAGTCCTGGGATTAAAAATGGGAGCCACTATCGCCAAGTGCCATCCAGTTCTTACCCACTGTTCTCTGACTGCCCAGGGTGTGTTAAAGAGAGATGGCTAGAACAGGGATTTCAAGCTTACTCCTAGTTCTTCCTTCCTTCCTTCCTTCCTTCCTTCCTTCCTTCCTTCCTTCTCTTTCTTTTCCTTGGTTATATTATCCCACACACACACACACACACAGTCTGAAGCCCAGGTTGGCCCTGAACTACTGATGAAGTTGAAGATGACCTTGAACATTTGACCCTCCAATTCTCCTCTGGAGGGCAGTTTAAGCAGTGCTAGGGATCAAATCTGGGTCTTTGTATTTTGTAGGCAAGAAGTGGTCCAACTCAGCTACATCTCTAGCGCTTTGGTTACTTTCTTTCCTATTTTTTTAAATAACCTTTATTTGTGTTTTTTTTCCCTTCATCTCTAAAATAGACTGTATTTGTGTGTGTGTGTGTGTGTGTGTGTGTGTGTGTGTGTGTGTGTGTGTGTCTATGTCTGTTTGGAGGTCAGCGTTTGATGTTAGGTGATTTCCTTAATTGCTTTTCCATCTTCTTTTTTGAGACAGGGTCTCTTGATAAACCTGGACATCACTGATTTGTGTAGATGAGTTGACTATCAAGCCTCAGGCATCCTCTAGTCTCTGCCTCCCAGAACTTAGATTACCAGGGTACAAGACACCACACCTGACATTTTACAGAGGTACTGGAGATACACACACACACACTCACACACACACACACACACACACACACACACACACACACACACACACACACACACACACACGGCAGCGCAGCTAGCTTAACTTGTAGTCCAAGCACCTGAGAGACTGAGACAGAAGGGTGGTCCAGAGTTCCAGTCTACAATAAATATCAGGTTCCAATTCTGCCTGAGTTAGTATCAAAAAGCCAAAATAAATAAAATGGACTAGATAATTTTACAAGCCAAAAGGGGTGGGTAAGGGGTGAGCCGCAAATAAATAAAATGGACTAGATAATCTTACAAGCCAAAAGGGGTGGGTAAGGGGTGAGCGGCGGGTGACAGGCAGCCTATCCAGCTGGTGGTTGATGAAACTCCCTATTACCGTTTCCTCCTCCAGATGTGGAAGTGAGTGGGCAGAACTGGACCTTCGCTTTCGACTTCTCCTTTCTGAGCCAAGAAGAGGATCTGGCATGGGCGGAGCTCCGGCTACAGCTGCCCAGCCCCATGGACCTCCCCACTGAGGGCCCACTCATCATTGAAATTTTCCACCAGGCAAAGCTGGACCCAGAGCAGGCCCCAGCCGGCTGCCTGGAGCGAGTTCGGATGGAGCAGTTCACTATCACTCCGTCTCAGGTCACTTTTTCCTTGGGCAGCACTGTCGTGGAGGTAACCAGGCCACTCTCCAAGTGGCTAAAGGACCCCAGGGCACTAGAGAAGCAGATGTCCAGTCTGAAAGGAAAGTGCTGGCATCAGCCCCGCACCCCACCTGTCACTGTCACCAGCACAAATGTGCTCATGCTCTACTCCAACCGGCCTCAGGAGCAGAGGCAGCTGGGTGGTGCCACTTTGCTCTGGGAAGCTGAAAGCTCCTGGCGGGCCCACGAAGGACAGCTGTCTGAAGAGAGGGGCCGATGGAGAAGGCACCGGAGGCATCACTTGCCAGACAGGAGCCAACTGTGTAGGAGGGTTAAGTTCCAGGTGGACTTCAACCTGATTGGCTGGGGTTCCTGGATCATCTATCCCAAACAGTACAACGCCTATCGCTGCGAGGGCGAGTGTCCTAACCCCGTGGGGGAGGAGTTTCATCCTACCAACCATGCCTATATACAGGTAGGATGCCTGGAATGGAACAGGCTGCTAGACAGGGGATGATATTCAAAGGTTGCCATGAGATAACTGGGTTTGGTCATTCCAGTACCTCCATGTTTGCTCCTGTGAGAATGTAGAGTGTCATAGCTCTGAGTTCTGTTCTGTGGGGTTACCCTGGGAGTTCTCTTTCTCCCCCCACCCCTCTCTCTCTCACACATGCACATGCATGACGCACCAGGCTGGCCTCAAACTCAGGATGACCTTGAACTCCTTCACTCCCTAGTGCTGGGATTATAGGCATGCACCACCACACCCAGTCGTTACAATACTGAGGATCAGATCCAGGACCTCAAGCATGCTAGGCAAACACGCTACCAACTAAGCTACATCCCCATCTTTTCCTTGTTCCTATAATTAGGTGGTAGGAATAGAACAAAGGGTCTCTGCTCCTCCAGCTCTGACACTCTGAGAAAGGACATTCAAAATTGGACTTAGGGACTAGACAAGCCTTCTTACTCCTGCTCATTGCTTGTGTGACTTTAAGCTGCTGCTTCTCTAAAGATCTTATTTCAAAGACAGTAGCATATTTCACAGGCACATGAGTAGGTGGCACATGCAGTATTCTATTATTTATGAAAATAGTTTTCTATTTTTGTACCAGACCATATTTTTCACTTTGGCTAGAAATACTAATTCTGCCTCTGCCCCAGCTGTGTGAACCCACTGATCCTCTCTCCTTCCTCCCTTTCAGAGCCTGCTGAAACGCTACCAGCCCCACCGGGTCCCTTCCACGTGCTGTGTCCCTGTGAAGACCAAGCCACTGAGCATGCTCTATGTGGACAATGGCAGGGTCCTCCTGGAACACCACAAGGACATGATTGTGGAGGAATGTGGATGCCTCTGACACAGCCAGGGGGAGGGCTGAATCAGCTTGCTCTCCACAATGCTAGTGAACTCCGGGGAGACCCCAGTGTCTATCCAGGGAGCAAAAATGGGAGAAGGGCTCTGCCTGCCAGAGCTGAGGAGGAAGGCCTGCTTCCTGTGCACAGTCAGACCTTAGACCTGCCAGGCCAGAGGCTACTGCAGGGGGGCAGGAATGGAGAACCTTGGCAGAGGCTGGTTGGGCTCCCTGGAAATGGGGGCTGTGAACTGTGCAAGTGCTTTTTAAACTCTGGAGCCCTTGGAATGGTGTGCAAAGGCTGGGGTATGCTATGTATTTATTTTTGAGGCCATCTGTAGCTTTCCTGTACTCTTAAAAGTGGTCTGTGACCCACTGTCACTTCTTAAAGATCGGTATAATTTGACTAGATTAAAACTAACCATTTGGCTCACCCTGCTTCATGCTGGGCTAGGGGAGCCCCACAACTTTCTGGCTTGCTGTTACTAATGTGATGGCCTTCCTCAGGAGCTCCCTGATCTCTGCTTATGAGTTGCCAGAACAATAAAGCCACTGTCCAGTTCTCTCAGGGCCAGCTGATGCCTTTGACCAGAGAGGTGGGCACTTGTCCAAGAGGGACTGGCCATGGTGGACTATGGAAGCCAGAGCTGTCAGACATCTGCTTGTCAGACAGAACCCAAGTCTATTAAAAGTCAGTGAGAATTCAACTCAGGCTCTCAATGTGTTTTGGGGTCCTGAGGTTCTGATCCAGCAGGGGTTGGGTTGTGGTCATAGCTTTTACAGGGCTATGTGATGTGCGTGGGGGGGAGGGTGGCATTCACCGCCTGGTCTCCCCTTGTGAAAAGTGGCAGACCCTGATTCCTTTGTAGGTTGTGTCTCTAAGGGCTAGGGAATGATGTGGCTCAGTTAGGACAGTCAGAGCTACACAGTGAGATCCTGTCTCAAACAAAAACAAAAATGAAAGGTAGGGCCCTGACCCTCTAACTGGATTGTCCTGGAGTCTTTTCACTTTAGTCTTAACATATAAGATCTGCTACGCTGGGTAGGGCTGCAGAGATGGCTCAGAGGTTAAGAGCACTGGCTGCTCTTCCAGAGGTCCTGAATTCAACTCCCAGCAACCACATGGTGGCTCACAACCATCTGTAATGAGTTGTGGTGTCCTCTTCTGCCATGCAGGCATACATGCAGGCAGAACACTGTACACATAATAAATAAACCTTAAAAGAAAAAAGACCTGCTCTGCCTGTTGAAATGATTCTCAGGGCAGCCTAACTCCTGATTCTGCATGGCAGCATGGCAGAAGGAAGCTCAGCTTTCTGAAGAAACTTCTATCTCCTTCCCCCCCCCCCCCCCCCAAAAAAAAAAATAAAACCTTTAATCCCAGCACTGGGAAAGCAGAAACAGTTTGAGGCCAGCCTGGTCTAAGAGTTCCAGGACAGCCAGGGCTGTTTGTTACTCAGAGAAATGGGAGGGGGAGGGGGTTAAGTTCTATCACTAAAATATCTGAACAGCTGCTTGTTCTTCTGGCTGGGGTACAGAGCTGCTTTGGGGGTTGAACATGCAAGTTAACAGGAGCTCTCCCTCCCGCTTGCTTCCCAGGATGCCCATCCACTTTGCTTCAGCCTTGGCTGAATCAAGGCAGTGAGGCTAGTCCAAGCAGGGACTGGGTTGGCTACAACCTAGCCTGGGCTGACAAAGCCGAAGGCCCATAACTCAGCAGCAAGGCTGGGTCCAAGCAAGCTCTGAGCTCAGTAATTCAGTCACCAGTGTTCGGTGTTGAGGTTGGAATCAGTCTCACTCTAGCTCCGACGGGCTTCAGATTCTCAAATACTAGGATTACTCACCTCTATCTACCACCATGCCAAACCAAATTTTACTTTTTGAAAACGGCCTAAAGGCCTCATGGATGTTACAGCAGTGCTGAGATTCAGGACACGCCTTTAACCCCAGCACTCGGGAGGCAGAGGCAGGCATATCTCTTTGAGTTCCAGGCCAGCCTGGTCTATAGAGAGAGAGCCAGGACAGGCTCCAAAGCTACACAGAGAAACCCTGTCTCAACAAAACAAAACAAAACACAACAGAAAGCCCTAGCTTAGACCAAAGGCTTGACCTCCAGGACTCAAGCCCACTACGGAGCTTAAGTTCTTGGGGGGGGAGGAGTGGCCTCTTGAGGCTTTAGGAAGCAGGTGCCTGCAGTCCTTACACAGCCAGACAGCAGAGCCAAAGGCCAAGCTATTTGGTTTCAGCTTGTGCTTACAATTGGCTGTTCAGTGAACTTGTGATGAAGCTCCCTGGTGACAAGGTATTGCTTATGTCAAGTTGGGATGTGGGCACGAAGTGATCAAGTACATGTGCTGATCTTGCTTATATTATAGTGCTAGCTGCAGGACCAGTGTGCTGCCCTGGCTGCGGTTTTCTGGGTACCATTGTCTAACAATGGTTCTGGATCTGGTCCATGGCTGGGCAGGATGCCTTGAACATCCCAAAGGACTGCCTCTGAGAACTGTCCTATCTGAATGTGGGGCTTTAATAGTTATTTGCTCTCAAGGCAAAGGTCTGGTGTTCTGCAACTGTAAGCAGGGTCAAGAGCAGAAACAATAGTTGCCTTACACACATAAATACACCCACCACCTGGCAAGCAGGTGGGCTGGCAGTAGCAGAGAGCTGTGCCCTCTGCACCATAACCTGGGTTTATCTCCACCTTAATAGCACTTTTACAGTAGGAAGACCCCATCCCACCCACCCCCATCCCCTGGAAAGGCTCTGCAGGTTATCCTAGCCACAACTTTCCTTTAGTGTTAGGTCCATAGTTGCATTTGCTCTAACCCACTCCTGCGAGGAGGGTCCCCGCAGGCTGGTGATTCTCTGAGCTTAGTGTTGTTTTAAGAGGGTCTCACAGTATAGCCCATGCTGGTCTGGAACTCAACAGTAATACTACCTCAGTTTAACAAGTGATGGGACTACATATGTGTACCACTTGAATTCTTTTACAAGAACTGGCTGTACCAGCACTAGGCACAAATTCTCTTGATCTTACAACCATCTATAAATGATTTCTTTACCCTGATAGGGGCTGGAGGTTGAGAGATGTAAGAATCTCCCCATGAACTGAAGCTGCCCCACCCATGGTCTAGCACCAAACCTCTACTCTACTTGGTCTTGATAGGAAGGTTAGCCTCATTTCCTCTGTGGACTTGTCCACAGCCACCAACACAAAAAAGCCAAGCCAGGCTCATGTATCAGCCCAGAATAGTCAGATAGCATGCACATCAGATTTTTACTATTTATAACAGCAGTAAAATTATCATTATGAAATAGCAACAAAAATAATTTCATGGTTGGGTCACCACAACATGAGGAACTATATTAAAGTGTTACAGCATTAGGAAGGTTGAGAACCACTGGCCTAGAGCAAAACACGCATGCCAGGTGGTTTTGTCAGAGCAGAGAGAGGCCATCAAACTCCTGTGCTTACATTCACAGGACCAGAATGTCAGGGATCCATTAGGGAGACAGAAAACAGTTGGCTTATTCTGCCTGGCTCCTCAACCGAGACTTACCAAATCCCTCAACAGTACACCAGATAGTTTTGGGGTGTGTGTGTGTGTGTGTCCATCCCAGGCTGGCCTCCAACTTTTAGCAATCTTTCTGCCTCAGCCTCCTGAGCACTGGGGTTAAAGATGTGAACCATGCATAGTATCTGACCAAAAAAAAAAAAAAAAGCTGGGTGGTAATGGTGGCGGGGGCAGCACACACCCTTGCTCCCCTCCCAGCACTTGGGAGGCATAGGTAGGCAGATCCGTGAGTTTGAAGTCAGCCTGGTCTACAGAGAGTTCCAGGACAGCCAGACCTATTACAGAGAAATCCTGTGTTGAAAAGCAAAAAATAAATAAAATCAATACATCAAGAGATTGAGTTTGGTGATACAAGCCTTTTAATGGTAGCACTTGGGAGGCTGAGGCTTGTAGATCTCTGCATTCAAGGGCAGCCTGGTGTATATGAGAAGTTCTAGGCCATCTAAGAGCTACACAGTGAGACCCTGCCTCAAAAACAAACAAAACGCTTAATAAACTAAATTTAGCTAAATACTAAATTCAGGATGGCTCCATGGTAGAAACTGTAGCATATGTGAAAGTGGTGGGCAGTAGTGGCAAACGCCTTTAATCCCAGCACTCAGGAGGCAGAAGCCAATGGATCTCTTAAGTCAAGGGCAGCCTGGTCTACAGAGTGAATTCCAGGATAGGCCCCAAAGCTACAAAGAAACCCCTTCTCAAAAACAACAACAACAACAACGGAGGCAGGGTTCAATGCTCAGCACCACAAAATACCAAGTCAATATTCAAGTTCTTTATTTAACTGTAACAGCAACCATTGGTGAGAATTTTTCCCTCATTCTAAACACCTGCTAGCTTGGAAGAACAGTTAAGAAACAAAAACTGGTCATGGAATCACACAGGACTGTTTTAGGATTGCAGGGAACCTACTACCACTGACCATTGGTGACAGTGAATGAAGGGAGGTGAGGGGACATGTCAAGGGAACAAAGTGGGAGGACCAAGGAAAGTGCTGGCAGCTTCTGGAATTCCATTCCACATGGCTAAGGCTGCAGGAGTGAACAGGGGAAAGTCTATCACAAAACACAAAGATTCTTAAAATGGACAACTGGGAACCAGAGTCCTTGGGCTCTTCAAGTTGCCTTCTTCTTAGCTGGAGCTGGTGCAGGTGCCATGAAGAGGAGCAAAGGCATTGGTGTGAGCCAGTCAGCGTGGTCCTGCTGCCCCTACCTCCTGCCCTCCAGTCATAACTTCCAGGCCTGGGCTGGGCAGCTTTTAAGACTGGAATGGAGAAGAAAGGGATACAGAGGCAAGAATGGGCATTCTGTGCTGGATTCAAGGAATTCTCTTAAGTTTGCAATGTCCCGGATCTGGGTCTGAAGCCCTGTCAGGAGCTTCCTTTGGAAACATCAGCACAGCCAAGTGTCTACAAGGCATGCACCTCTCACTGCCACCCTTCCACCCCAGAAAGGTAAACAGGCACTTGTATCCACTGGGAACTGCTTCAGCTCAGTAGGCTGCAGGAAGAGCTGAGCAAGCAGAGAAACCACAACCACCCGAAGACTTTCAATGTTAAACTCTGCCCATAGGCACCAGCTTCCAAGACCCGCCTAAGGTAAAGTTCCAGTTCCAGAGGGTGGAGAAGGCATCTTGATTGATCACAATGAGGATCTGCCAGTCATCCTTACAGTCTTTAGTTAAGTTCCTGTGAGCTAGCTTCAATCAAGTCCACCACTGACGTGGAAACCATTACCAGAGCAGGAAGCACGACTGGATGATGTGCACCGAAGGACTGCTCCAACTGCCGGAACCGGAATTCCCGTCACTAAAAGCCATGGGGCAAGGAGTTGTGGGTAATCATGCCCTACTCAGAAGTTCAGACAGAACTCTCTACCCCAAGAAACCGTGCTCCTCACTAGAAATCCCATCTTCCACGGTAAGGATGGGTCAGTGATTGGGTTTTCGCAGATTAATAAATAGCTGCCGTGGGCATGGAGTCCAGAAAACACACTAAAGAACTTTAACTACATGAAGACAGTGGTGGCCTTCCTCTAGAAGGAACACTCCCCTAAGCACCCAAGATGGAGACAGGAAAGAGGGTCCATCCCTGATACATGGCTGCCAACACCTGAGTCTCGTACACTAGCGCCCAACTCACAGTGGCAGTCTTTACAAGCAGGCTGGATGGACTCTCAGTGGAACACAACTGAACAAGGTCTAACACCCAAGGAGACAGTAACACAAGAGCTCCCCATCCCCCACCCCTCTTCAGATTAGGAAAAAACCCACACACCACTAGTACCTGTAGTACATACTCAAGCAAGTATGGCTACAGAAAAGAAAATGCTAGTAAAGACAGCACCAATTCAAACAAGAGCCTCCATCCAAGGATAGGGAGAATGCCTAGCAGGAACATGCAGATCTCCCATGAGTTCCGAGGCACTGGTGAGCTACCTCTTAGGCCCCCGCTACAGGTGAAAACAAGACTGCTTTTAAGTGCAAAGGAAGCAATGGGCAGTCAAGCACATACAGGCATCTGCGTTTTCAGGTACCCCTGGCTTATGGAGAAGCTGCTCTGGGTGGGACACCCTGACCAATGACAGACTCAGGTAGCATCTGGCCATGATACAATCACCAGGACAGCTTCCTGCTCCGAAGCTCACAAACCTAACATCCTTTGCTCCCCTCTGACAAGCCCTTTTGTCAACTCCCGACTAAAGACAGAGATGGTAAATGACGCTTAAAGAGGCCACCCCAGAACCTTGCAAAAGCAAGCATTCTTGAGAAGACAGGCCAACAGGATGCAACAGATCTGGGAATCTCGATTTCCTGCCACAGGTCTTAAGAGAGGGGAAAGAGAAGTCTGTCTTTTGTCCCAGTTTGGTCCCACCTTAGAGGGTTGTTTTGATAGCAATGTGCACCCAGCTTATGGCTGTCCTCACTTCCCTGAGGACTACTTTCCTCCTGTTAGGGGCATGGTAGTTTAAAGGCACTGCAACTTTCTTCTTAATCCACCTTCTTCTCTGGGATCAGTCACTCAGGAAGAAGCCAGGTGCTGTGAAACCTACCCAACAGAGACCCACATGGAAGGCACCCTGCTGACAACCAAACCACAAAAACCTTCAGCTCCAGATGAGAGCAGCCCCCCCCTGCACCCTACATGCGTCTTCATGAGGACCTATGCTAAAGCTCCATGATAAGCAGCCTCCAATCCTGTTTGAGAAACACTGACAGGTTGTGTTCACTATTTTGAGATATTAGGCTTGCAGGTAATTTGTTACACAGCAATAGATAACTCATATAAACTCTTGCCTAGAAGCCAGCTTTTCCACTCCAGTGCCCTGGAGAAGGCAAGGAGATGCCTACTTCAGCAGAACATGAGGGCTGGGAACTCAGAAGGAAGGACATTGCTGATGTGAATACTGCTAGGGCTGGAGGTTCTTCCTCAATGTAGGATGACTGTCCCAAGTGCAGGCGCACATCCTTCATAGAAATGGCAGAGGTTACTAAGATTTAAATAGCTGTGCACTCAAGTGAGAGGCTGGCAGATTACAAGGGTATGTCCTTTCCTTAGGGCACCTGCTGTGAGGCTCCCTGAATACCCAGAGGTAACCCCTATTGGACCCTGCTTACTAGAAAATGGCTCATGAGGTATGGTACAAAGATGCCTTCTGTTGGAAGCTTAGTTCTTGTCTTGTGCAATCATCTTACAATGCTGATTTATGGAGATCAAAGAATGGGTAGTGGTGACCTTCGTATAAGGCCTGCAACAAGCAGTGAGAGGTCCTGGCAGAGGACATAAGGCTAAAGACTCCTGCACCACACAGGTGACACTTGAAGGAATATAGACAAGTCTTCTGATTGAGGGGGAGGGGCACACATGCAGGCTCCCCAAGATGGCAAAAGGATAAGTTTCTCGCTCGATCCTACTCAACTCCCTTGCCAGTTGTGGGTCCAGGAGGCCACTCTGCTGCAAGCAGCCGTTCAATGAGGAACTCTTCTGACACTCATATCTCCTCACTGCAGCTGCAGCCAGTCCACAGGGAGCTGGCAGCGTGAAGAACCATGAGCCTTGCTCCCCAAGAAGGAAGCTCCAGGGTGCAGAGGTCCTGAGCTGCTTATGCCACTGGCAGCACAACTCAAGTTTTCCCAGGACTCCAGAAAATGAAATTTGGAGTTTAATTAAAAACATAACAGATACATTAAACAAAGAAATAAAACTCTTCTGATTATCAACTTGGAGACTCCAAGAATCCCCAAACAATGGAGACCCAGCTTATTCCTGAGAGAGCGACCTTCACAGAGGGTTGCAATCCGAGCTATTCACATTGTGTAGCAGAAAACAGAACCAAGTTCTGCAGATGTCCTTCCTTTCTTTTTCCTAAAATCTTCACAAAATAGGGTCTTTCCATGGTTCAAAGGAAGAGCATACAGCTTTCTTTCTCAGCCAATGGGGATCTGAAATCTTACTAAGAAGGCTTAGATAGGCATCCAATACAACCAGAAACTCCCAGGACACCAGTGGCTGCTAAACTGTCTTTCTTTAGGAGGATGATGCATAAGCCTGTCTCTCTCTCTCTCCTGGGATCACCATGTCAGTCTACAGTACCAGGAGAGTGGGGTGGGGAGAAGCAAGAGAGCAAACTGGTAAAGGAAAGGAATGAAGTCTTTGTCAACAACTCATAACAGGGCAGACTGGTCCAATTTCACAAACCACCCTTTCTTCACTCCAAATAGACCCCCAAACTTGAGAGCACAGGAAGGCGCTCAGAAGGAACTATGAGAGACAAAGGACAGTGAAGACAGGAGACTTGCCCAGGAACCTTTCTTTGCTTTTTTTTTTTTCCTTTTCTTTCTTCCTTTCTTTTTTTTGTTTTTTAAAATAATCTTCCTAATACTGGAAGATGTTTTGTTAAAAAAAGTTGCAGTTCAAAATTGTTCTGAAAACTTATCTAAAAATAGGTCTGTAGTCATCTTAAAAATAAAAGGTCTCTCCTCTGATTAAGAGACAGATATTATCAGATACCAACATGTGAGGTACCTCTGATGTAGATTTGGAAAACATCCTGGTGGAAGAACCAGAAGGAAGAAGAGAGTGAGGTTTGAAAAGGAGAGGAGGAGGGAAGCAGGAAGGATAGACACAATGAGCAGGGCAGGGAAATGCGAAGGAACACACTTTTTTTCAGCCCTTGCTTCTCTCGACAGCCAAGACAGAGCAGATCCAAAGCAGGGTGTGTGTGTGTGGTCAACTTTAAACTCAAAATATACAACTGCGGGACAACAAACCTGCTAAGGTCTGCCAGGTTTAAACCATGACTACTGAAGCTGGCTACCTGTGCGGCTCAGTCCTCCTCTTCAGAGGTCAGCTGGGCATCCTCAAGCAGACCCACTAGTGGAAGCCAGACAAAAGTCACAGGTATCTCAGAGCAAAGAGGACTCTTGCCTGCATGATGCAGGTAGAAAGAATAGCAGACAGGCAAAGAACAGCTGATCACCCAGGGGTCTCTTCAGGAGAAGGGCTTAAAAATACCCGTGCCAATAAAATATGTAAGGGATCAGGGAGATGAGCAATCACACCCAAAACAGAAGCCTTCTTCCCAGAGAAAAGGGAGGCTGATGTCATGAGTTCCAGGAATGCAGTTGGAGCTGCAGGAGGTACAAGAACTGTGCTCCAGTACTGAGAACAAACATCTCCAGGAGTAGGGCAAGCAGCTCACTGTTTATCATTCCCCCAAGTGGTTTAAAGATCCCACACCCAGCACTGAATCATCGATGGGATGCAGAGAGGGAAGGCAGAGAGCACAGGCACAGCAGAGGGAACCAAACCTCCTTCCCTCCCCAGCCACCCCAAGCAGAGGTGCTTCTTAGAGAGCCCCTGGACTTGGGGTAAATCTGAAGGGGGCAGGAAGATTTTTGGGAAATGACCATGGAAGCTATAAGGACTGCTTTCCTCTGTGGACCAATTCCACAGAGGAATCCAAGGGCAGGACACAGGCGAAGATGTGGTCAATGGAGCACATCTTCCATCATTTGGCACCCAGAGGGAGGGGAGGAAAACTGCCATTTGCTTCTTGGTTCACTTCATTCCTACTGGCCCAGTCAGGTTGCACCAGCTGCGTGCTGCAGTCTCCTTCGATTCTGCAGCACTCAGATGTCCATTTCAAACTGAGCCTCATCTCCTGGTTAGAGGGAAAGAAATGAGAAGTTTAGTACAAAAACTAATGGCAAAGCTGTTTTCAACATCTTTTTCTATCTGCAAAGGGCAAAACTAATACAAACTGTCCCATTCCCTGGGGCCTCACAATACCTACTCCTGAGTGTAACACTACTGCTCAAATTTAATACTTAATTTTGGGTGAGCCCAGGATACATAGCAAGACCCTGTCTTAGCAACAAAACCACATTCATTTTGTTTCGGCTAATCAATCTCAATTGGGGGTAGGTGTGGAGAGGGGAGTGATCACACCAGGAAAGGCACAAGGGGATGTTTCCAGTTGCTCTTCCACAGACAATCCACACAGCAGCTCCTAGTCACTCATGTGAGCACTATTCTGGAGGCAGCTTACACCCATAATTCAGGCACTCAGGAAGCGAGGCAGAAAGATTGTTGCAGTAAGTCTGAGGCCAATCTGGGCTTCATGGAGAATTCTCTGTAGCCTTGTTCCCCAATCCTCCCCATCATAAAACCAACGAAACAAACAAGACAAAAACAAAAACTTCAGTTGGAGCTGCAGAGAACATGAAGTACAAAGCCTTTTCTCTTCCCTGAGACAGGGTTTCTCTGTGTAGCCCTGGCTGCTCTCAAACTCAGATCCACCTGGGATTAAAAGCGTGTGCCGCCACCACCTTGTCAGGGTTATTTTCTGGTCTTGCTGGAAATAGGTGGCTAAGACTCTGGGTTGGGATATACATGTGCTTGTGCAAGGAGGCTGCAGGGGTAGCATGTGTGTGCAACTGTGTCTATGTGAGTGCGACCCTTAGCAAATAAAGACTCCTCCAGGCATGGTTCTAATTCACTTTAGGGTTACCATCCCTTTAAAACAAACAAACAAAAACTGGGTCTACTCATGTAGCCCTGGCTGGTTTCCAATTCACAGAGATCTGCCTGTTTCTGCTTCCTGAGTGCTGGGACTGAAGGTATTAACCACTACATCTGGCTCCCATCCCTGATTTGTTTTTTCCCAAGCATGTAGGTGGAAACTGAAAGCATTTTAGTAGATGTTTAGGAGAGGAAACAGACATACAACTAAAATAAATGGGCTGTACTTTGATGAAGCAACATTTCCAGTCTGCAGTAAACTGATAGTTTACTCACCAACTGTATGCTTCCTGTCGTGATTGTTCAGGTTGTTCAAGTTGTTCACATCTACTTTGGAGTCTTCAATGAAGGTGCCAGGGCTAGTGACTCCAGGGATATTGGGCAGATGGCAAGGCGGGGTCTGTGCCATGGGAGAATTTCGACGATCCAACAGAAACTTTCGATCATAAATGATTCGTGTTCCTAAAACACAGGGTTGAAGAGCTTCAAATAAATTAAGGCACCACTAACACAATGAGTACTGAAGCTGGCTACCTGTGAGGCTCAGTCGTCCTCTTCAGAGGTCAGCTGGGCATCCTCAGGCAGACCCACCAGTGGAGGCTACAACACTTGCACTACAAATGACTGCTCTGGGAGCAGACAAAGGTCACAGGTATCTCAGAGTAAGATGCAGGTAGGAAGAATAGCAGATAGGCCAAGACCACCTGGAACCCCTTCAAATGCCACCTAACCCTTAAAGGCATCAATTCAGCCAAGAGGGGAGCCTACCCTCTCCTCTGAAGAGGGTAAGGTGCTCTGTCCTCTGGAAACTCCTGTTGGTTCTTCAACACTTAGCTCCAATGTCACTTCTTCTAGGAAGCCACCTTCCGTTCTTTTCAGATCACTCAACACAGCACCTTATGCAGGACTCCTGCCTGTATGTGCCTGTCTACAGACATCAAGCTCTGTATGCCAGCTGGATCTCAATTATTTACATTTCAGTTTTCATAACAACCCCCCCCACACACACACACACCTCTTTTGTTTTCTTCTTTTCCTTCTCTTAAAGAAATTTAACCTGGGTTGGGGTTTTGGATCTAAATCTTGTCTCAGCCACTTACCTACTAGACCAACAACTTAACTTCTAAAGAAGTTTTTCTTTTTAGATTTGTTATTATTTTGGCCTGAATATATGCCTGTTTGAGGGTGCTAGACCCCTGGAACTGCAGTTACAGACTGCCCTGTGGGTTCTTGGAATTGAATCCAGGTCCTATGGAAGAGCAGCCAAAGCTCTTAACTACAGGTCCATCTTTCCAGGCCTCATCAAGATAATTTCTTTTTCTTTTTTTGGAGATAGGGTTTCTCTGTGAAACAGTCTTGGCTATCCTGGAATACATTCTGTAGATCACTCTGGTCTCAAACTCACAGAGATCTTCCTGTCTCTGCCTCCCAAGTGCTGGAATTAAAGGCATGTGCCACTACCACACAGTTTAAGATAAATTTCTTAACGAAAGAAATATCAAATATAAACACGTATGTGAAAAGGTAGATAACCACCTTCAATTTCCAGCAACCACAAGGTAGCTCACAGCCATCTATGGTGGAATATGATGCCCTCTTCTGGCATGCAGGTGTACATGCAGATAGAACACTCATACATAAAATAAGTAAATCTTAAAAAACAAAACAAAAACCTGCATAATATCAAATTTTGAGAGAAACATGAGCAAAACCACAAGAAGAGATATACCTGGCAGGATGGTCATTATCAAAAACACAAGAGGTAAGTGCTGACCAGGACAGGAAAAGGGATATGTTGATGGTACAGCCCATAGGGCACAGGTGCTCTGAAAAATGGGATGGATTCCCAGAAATTAAACACACCATTTCTATCTATAGGGTTTACCAACCCCACCTAGGGTGTAGCTCCAAGGAAATGAAACTGGTAGTGCAAAAAGACAGTTTACTCATAATGGCAAGTTCACTATCTCTCAGAAGAATGGGGAGGGGGCAGGAGAACTGCTACCATTATGAGGTCAACCTGGGCTACAAGAAGTGAAATCTTGTTTCAAAAAGCCAATAAAACAAGCTATGTGTACTGAGTGGCTCGTGCCTTTAATCCCATCACTCTAGAGGCAAAACAATAAACAAATAAAACAAAACAAAACAAAAATGCAAGCAAGTAAACCAAAAGACAGCAACAAGAATGACAGGGAGAAGTAAAAATACCTGCATCCCCTGCTTGAAAGGTAAACTAGATTAATAACTCTGACAGACATCTGAATTATGAGCAATAAGGCTTCTAGATTGTAGAAGACTTTGACTATGAAGTTTGAGAATAGCTGACATGGGACGTATCTGTCATCCGGCACCCAGTATGGTTACATGGTGCATTTGATGCCAACTAGAAGTACAACAAAAACAGCAATAAGAACAAAACCCCCAGACCCTATTCAGTCACACTGTGAAGCTAACACTGCTACACCCAACCCACTGTGCCAAAGTTGGCCCTGTGCTCCTCCAAATTGCTCTCAGGTGCTCCCATACATAACACAATACCACAGATGGCCTGAAGGTTTCTAGTGATGGAGACTGATAGAAAACAGTAGAGAGCAGGTGGGAGAGAAGCAAGCTTGCGGCCGTCCCTATTCAGGAGGACACTAATCTCGGCGCCAGAGGCCAACCCCTCACGTTCTCATCTGTACTTAAGCTCCCCACCACTTAGTCCAATCATACTGTGTACGCATCAGAGCTTCTACACTGGAATTGTAGTTGTGATGGATTCTTTTCTAGTCATCCCAACTTGATACTTCTAACCTGTTTGGAAACTCATGATCTGTTCATTATTACGCTACGTAGATTAGGGGCCAAAGGCTGAAAGGGGTCACAATGACCTTTTGCTAACAAAGGGAGAAAACTTTAGTTGATTAACACTGCACGTTTGTCCGAAACCCCTATTTTTGACTAACACATTTATGGGGTATAGTAATGTTCTAATCCTTGTGTACATTAGATAATTATCAACTTGGGGTATTTTTAGCCCATCTACTACCTTAAACTTGCTATTTTCTCCTTGTTTTAAAAATGTATTTGTGTGTATAAATGCTTTGCCTACCTGTATGTAGGTGCACAACCTGTATGCCTATGAATAGTTGTGAGTCATTCCGTGGGTACTAGGCACTGAACCTGGGTCCTCTCCGAGAACAGCAAGTGCTCTTAACTCCAGCACCCATACAGTTGTTTTTAGACAGAGCCTCCCTATGCAGCCCTGCTGGTCTTGAACTTGGTATCCTGTCTCAGCCTTCTATATGCTAGGATTACAAGCAAGCATACCACACTCAGCTGATGTGGTTCTTTTAATGATAGTATTATGTATGTACATGAACAGGCATGTATGTGTCATGTTATACATGTGGTGGTCAGAGGACAACTTTCAGGAATCTTTTCTCCTACCATGGAGGTCTCAGGGATTGAACTCAGGTTATCAGGTTTGGCAGAGAGCACCAAAATTTCAAATAGTACCTTAAAATCCTGTCTTTTAACTACAGTTACACAATAATGGCTGTTACAATTAAATTTATAAATTACAGAACAGTAGTCCTCCCTTTTCTGAGGTTTTACAGAGAATTTCAAAGATTTCCTAAGTTTCAAATAACTTTCAAGCACCTGAAGGATGTTCTGAAATCCTCCCCCGTGATCATGGTTAATCTCTTCATCAGATGACGGACATGTGGCTGTTGCAAAGTCTTAATTATTAGGAGTGACACTGATTTAAGATTTAGATATCCACACAGGGTGGACAGCCATTCCCTGGAGCACATCCCAACATGGAATGGTTAAGTCACATGCTAATTGTCAAAAGAACTGCTGAGACTTCACACTCCTGTCAGCAGGGTGAATGAAGGCTCCGGATTTTACACAATGCAGTTTACACTGTTAAATCTCTTCATGTTAAGTCATCCTAGCTGACATGAAATGATTTCCCCCATGAACTGACTTACTTTGCACTCCCTGATGGCTAGCTAATTATGCCGGCTTTGCTCATGTGCTTACTGGCTTTTTCAATCAATATATATATCACCTTTTATTGTGTTTTAATCATCCTCAGTACACACACTCAGCTGAGGACTGAACCCATGGGCTGGTATGTCTGAGGCAAGAGCACACACATAATTTGTAATTTTCTTCTGTTTGTATACTTTTTCCCTTGATGGTTCTCTCTCTTCTCCTTCCTCCCTCCCTCCCCCAGTCCTGAGGAATGAACCCAGGGGCATGTGTTAAGTGATGTATTCTTTGAAGCATAAAAAAGAAACAAAATTTAAAATCCCTGGTTGGCCTGGAAATTGTAGTAACACCCCCCCCAAACCCCAATTGAGTTCTAAAAGCTGGGCTCATATATGCCACCCCTTCAGACCCTAGTGTTTAACTGTGATGAGATCCAATATAAGTTTGTTGTTACTGCTTGTGTTTTTTATGTCAAATCTAAGAAATTACTTAACCCAAGGCTATGAGTTCTGTTGCCTGTTTCTCTCTAAGTACTCTATCTGTGAACTGTGGACCCACATTGTATTTTTGTGTGTGGACAGTAAGTTGTATAGGCACTGTCTACTGAAAAGAGGTTCAATCTGAATGGCTATGGCACCTTTACTAAGGGCAGTGTGCTGAGAGGGCACATTACTTCTGGCTTCCCAATTCTTTCCCACTGATCCACATACAAATGCAAACTACACATTTTGAAAACAGGAGATGAGAGTACTCCCAAGTTTGTTTTTCACTTTCTACAACTGTGTGGCTACTTCAGGTCCCTTAGGGTTCTATATGAATTTCAAGGCTGCTCCCAAAGATGCAAGCTTGGACTCTGATTGCCTTTACTGTGTACATCATCTCCTAATCTATCAACAGCAAGTGCCTCTTGAATTTCTTTTGACGATAATTTAAAAAAAAAAAGATTTATTTATTTTATGTATATGCATGTTCTATCTGCACCTAACCTTTATGCTAGAAGAAGATACAGCTATAAAGGGTTGTGAGCCACCATGTGGTTGCTGGGAATTGAACTTAGGAAAAGCAGCCAGTGTCCTCACCCTCTGAGCCACCTCTCGACCTCAACATTAAGTTTTAAAATTATGCCTGTTTGAGGGCATACATGCTATGGAGTGCTTGTGGAGATCAGAGGACAACTTGAAGAAGTCCGTTCTCTCCTTGCACACATGGATCCTGGGGATCAAACTCAAGCTTAGCAGCAAGATCCTTTATCTATTGTACTATTTTTGTAGTTCCCAATGTACAAGTTTTGACTTTTAACCAATTTTATTCAATTGTAATATTGAGCCAAATTACTACCTTTCAAGACTAGTTTATTAAATTTTGAATCACTGCAAATTAAAGAATTTACTTATTTGGGTTGGGTTGGGTGGTGGTGGTGATGCACTTGGGAGTGGTGGTCCTAGCACTTGGGAGGCAGAGACAAGTGGATCTCTGTG